GAGCGGACAAACAGCTGATCAGCTGTTTGTCGGCTCAACGCGGCAGCCATGTAAATTTAAATGAAGCCGCGATCATTTATATCGCGGCTTCATTTGCCTTTGCCTATGTGTCTAATCTACATGCCTCTGATGACAGAGGCATGTAGTCTAGACACAGCCTAAGTGTCCTATGCATAGCATTGTCATTTACAAAATTATAGTTAATCTTCTTTGTATCATAGTGTTCTCATGTCCTTTCATAACAGTTCATAATTAATGTATGCTCAGTGCAGGGAGTTATCTACACGTAACATCTTTGACTTTTCTTCCATTTTTTTTTAAGTCAGTTACGTTTCATTTCTCCTCCCTTCCATCAAATGTGAAATACCTAAAACTGGGAGTTTACATGTGAACCTTAAATTAGACAATAGTTTGCTAGTAGCACTGACTATTGACTTTTTTCAAAAGCTGGTGTATGCATCTGTGAAGGGGCTCACCCTCTGATGAGCGCTGCTTTGTGGCCGAGGGCGAGTCTGCATTCCTCTGCCTGGCTGTTCTCAGGTGTCCCAAAATTCTGTCTTGTCAGTAGCCTGGGACCAGGCTTCTTCCTACCCCTATTGTGGCTACTGCAGGGGTTGGAAGGCAGATCCAGGCCCACCCACTCGTCAGGGTCCCAGTTGAGGAAACCTATAAGTAGCAGTTGCCTGCTGCATATCAATCGAGTCTGTTGCTGTCACGTTCCCTGGACCAGCTAGCTCCCCAGGAAGCTGCTCTGTTCTGCCCTTTTGCACTGAGGAGCTTTGCAGCCAAGGTCTCCCTGGGACCCTGTTCAGGGTTCTGCAAGGTGTTGCTGTCAGTTACTGGCTAGTCTTCAGCCTCTGGACATGGGTTCTGCAAAGGTCTGAAGTCCAGTTCCCCTTCGGAGCTGTCCCATGTGCTGTTGTTACCAAGTCAGCCTTTAGGCTTAGGTCTTCCTGGGTCACGCTCCAGCAAGGAACTGCCATGCCCTGGCGTAGCAGCTTCTTTTATATCCACTTGCTGGGCCGTGATTGGCTGCCAGAAAAGCAGCCACCCTAGTCTACTTGGAGGACCTCTTTTCTCCTCTTTTCCCTGGGGCAGGTTGCAGCAAGGCCTCCAGCAAGGGTATTGGGGCCAGGCCACCCTGTGTCACGGTCATTTTAAATGCTTTTGCTGCCTTAAACAGTTTGCCTTGGCTTTCATTGGGACTGAACACTTAACAATTTCCCCTGAAGTTTTTAGGAGTTATAAAAGACCAGAATTTCTGAAATCTGGCAGTGTGTGCATGCACACCTATAGTTTGAGTGACTTACACTTATGGTAACTATATGCAAAAGATGTACAGTAATTCCTCACTTAACACATGTCCTCTTCACATCTTTTGTGATAGCGCGATTTTTTTTTTTTTTTAGGGAACATTTTTCAAACAACATGACCCCATTCCCGCAATAACATGATTTCCCGTAGGGCCGGCCAGTGGCCGGCAGCTGCGTAAGGCTTCCCCTGCTTCCCTGCAAAGTGGCGGAGGTTTGCCGCTCACAGCGCCATTCCCTGGTGACCCCCTCTAGCCAGACGCAAGTCATCTGGCCAGAGGGGGTCACCGGGGAACTGCACAGCGAGCAGCAAACCTCCACCACTTTGTAAGGAGGCAGAGGAAGCCCCGCACAGCTGCCGGTGACTGGCCAGCTGGGGAAACTCAGCCACCAGCTGCAAGCCCCCTCCCCTGTCCTTCCCTTCCCTTCTCCAGAGCCAAACACCTCCCCTCCCTGTTATAACCCAGTCCCCTTTTTCCCCCAACCTTATGTTGCAGTCCCAGCTGCTAACAAGTGTGGGCAGGAGCTGCGAGCACACGTGCGCTTGAAATGCAACCCCCACCTTTTCAATTATTTTCAATGGGAAAAGTGACCCCGCATAACACGTTTTCACTTAGCACGAACATTTTCGGAAATGTATCTACATGTTAAATGAGGAATTACTGTATTTTTAAAAAGTGTGACTGATGTTTGGCTCTACAAATAAGAACTAGAAATCTGCATAAACATTGTGGTTGATACCATGATAAGGGGCCTTATGCAACTCCTTTTGAATCTACATTTCTGTATTTCTCGTGCATTGCCAATTGGGACTGTTAGAAGAACCTGGTATATTGTTATGCCAAAGTTCTTCAAATACAGTGATTTCTGTTAAAAATTTCCTTTTCTTTATCTTTGCACACATACAATATTACGTCATGAGTAGTATACAAATACCTAGCAAATTGTTTTGTTAGCATTAACTACTTCCAAATGTAAAATTTATAAGTATTTTATTGACAACTGCTGTCTGTTGTTTTTGTTTTTAAACGGGCTTTTATATTTTGTTAAAGGTAACATTTGACCCAGAAGTTTTCTTCAACATTCTGTTGCCTCCTATTATTTTCCATGCTGGGTACAGTTTGAAGAAGGTAAGCGTAAGCACTATCTGAAAATGTAACCACTACTCTTTCTGCCTAACATGTAGGCCATGGGTTCCCAAACTGGGGGAGGAGGGCATGCCCCACTGGGGGGGCCTGAAGAAATTCCAGGGGGGGGGGCGAGGCGACCCAGCTCCCTTCCCCCATCAATTCCCTCCCCCAAGTTTTGCTGCTTTTTTGGGGGTTTTGGACCCGGTCAGTTCCTTTTTCTTTTCTCAACAAGTTTTGCTGGTATGGGGATGGGAGGTGTGAGGGATCTCAAGAATCAAAAATGGGGCGTGATACTGAAAAGTTTGGGAACCACTGATCTAGGCTGTGTCTAGACTACATCCTTCTTTTGATTGTACAGGATCGTTCGAAAAAGCCTGCCGTTTTCAACAGAACCATGTCTACACCGCTGTTTTACTTTCAAAATGGCGCTTGTTTGAAAGAGCGCCATTACGCAATTATGCAAATGAAGCGTGGGATAAATCCCCGCTTCATTTGCAATTTCAAAGTGTCTACTTTACATTCGTCTGTCAAAAGAGGGATGTAGTCTAGACACAGCCCTAGAGTACAGTCTCCACTAGTGCTGAAGTCCTGAGCACAAATGTATCTTTTGTGGTACCTTTAGCAGAGCTAGAAAATCTTGTTCATTTTTTCTGAACAGTTGAAAGATTTTAAGAGAATGTGTATTATTTTACTAACAGATTTATGGAATTTCGTATTTCTTACACATTGTCTTACAATGTTATTTGCCCCAGAACATTGCTATTGAATAAGCAAAATAAAAATAAACTAATAAATAGTGAATTGTTCTGGTTTTCCTCTGCATTTTGTGCATTCATTGACTTACTTTGAGAGATGGGCCCAAACCTAAACTTTGCTCTGAACACCTCTGAATATTGAAAGGTAAAAATTCAGGACTGCACTTTGGGACTTGGAGTCATCACCTACAGTTATTTTGCTTTTAAATTTCTGGCCTTCTGTTACATTAATTACAGAAGCTTCTGTTTATAAGCTCTGCGTCAACAAGCACCATGTAAGGTTTTAAATATGATTTAGGTGGGACTTCCATTAAGTTGGTTTAAATATTACAGAAGATTTACATGGTAAGATTCAAAATATTTTTTCTTCCCAGAGTGGAAGACTATTTCCTTACTATAGGGCTGTGCTGTGCATTTAACTGAGCTTTTAATACAATTGTTTTTTCTCCTACAGAGACACTTTTTCAGGAACCTGGGGTCTATTCTGGCTTATGCTTTTTTGGGAACTGCAGTTTCTTGTTTTATTATTGGGTGAGTGACTTTTTGAGAACTCTTCTGTACTACTTTAAGTTGATAAAATAAAGATCCTATCTCCCTAAACTTTTGATTTCTCATGATTAATACAATGACTGTAAATTTTCAATTAAGGTTTTATTGGTGTGTCCTTTGGGTAAAATTCAGCATCTACAATGATGTAGAATTTGGTTGACTTCAAACAGGGTTTTGCTTTCTTTCAGAGCTGCCAGAAACAGACCATGAAGCTTGTCCAAACAACTCAGTTTTGTGGTGATCTCTACTATTTTCCAGCCACACAGTCCTAGAGATCCAAGTTTCTGTTGGTTCAGTTAATCAGTAAAGAAAACAAAACTTCACAAAATACTTGATTCTACATGAAGTGGCAGAGCCAGCCTTAGGCCAATTGGAATGATTCGGTTGAATCCGGCCCCGCGCCTAAGGGGGCCCCACGCCCCTGAACCCGGAAGTGCCGGCTGCCAGGGTTGACGTTATAATTCAGAGCTGGGCTTGCTGCTCCACCACTATGTGGAGCGGGGTCTCTCCCCCAGCTCTGCCCAGAGTGGGCCTCAGCGCCCCACCGACCCTCCCGCGTGTCCTCCCTCCCCGTCTCATCCCATGCGTGGCTCTGGGCGGCTTCCCCTCACCGCCTGCTGCTGCCCATGAACGGTGTTGCAGGTGGGCAGGGCCTTGACGTGACGTGACGTCACACCCGGGATTTTCAAAGTGCCCGGGTTCGGACTGCGGGGCCTGAGTGCAGACTCCGGCCCCGCTACGCGGAATGCGGAAGGTGGGGGAGGGGCTGGGGAAGCGGCTTGTGGGGAGGTGGAGTGGAAGGAGGTTTGGGGGGCTTGTGCAGTGGGAGAGGGGGAGGGGAAGGAGAAGGGGCTTGTGGGGAGGGGAAGGAGAAGAAAGGGAAGGCACCAAGTGACAAATGGCAGGGAGCTAAGTGCACTGCAGACAATAAGGGAAAGGGCAGGAGGAGAGGCGTCAGTGGGAGGGGGGACAGGGTGATGCCAGGAGAGGAGAGGGGAAGGGCATTGGGGGCTAGAGGGGGAGGTGCTGGGAGAAGGCTTGAAAGAAGGGCTGGGCATGAGAAAGGTGGGGATGGAGCAAGTCTTGTGAGGGCACGGAGGGGAATGGGGCAGAGAGTGGTGAGGGGGTGGGCTTCAGAGAAAAAGGGGGCAGGGGCAGTAAGGGAAAGGGGAGGCACCAGGAGGGTGCAAGGATAAGGGAAGGTGCAGGTGCCAGAGGATTCTTGGGTGAAGCAGAAGGGCAGACACCTGCAGGGAAGGGACCAGCACCAGAGGAGAGAGGCAGGGCAGGTTTGTAGAGGGAGGTGTTGGAAGAGGGGATGAGGAGGGGTAGCTCATTTGATCAGAGTGGGGCTACTGGGGGAGTGGGCACAGGGGGGAATGAAGGGC